TCACCCTTACAGATTTACATTTAAACAAACAAACAGAACCCCCCACAAATCTTTGTTATTTAGTGACAGAAGCAGAGCAGGAGAGGAAGCAAAGGTGTGTGTGTGTGTGTGTGTGTGTGTGTGTGTGTGTGTGTGTGTTCTAGCCATCATTACCAAGAAATCTTTTTTTCAAAGTGAGCTATCATTCCCATACCATAATAATTCAAGCTTTTAAAATTGTACAAGTCAATGGCTTTCTGTATATTCACAAAGTTTTGCTACTATATAATTCCAGAATATTTTCATCATCCCAGAAGGAAACCCCATACCCATTAGCAATCATTCTGTATCTCCTGCTGCCCCCAACCCCTGGCAACCACTAACCTATTTTCTGTCTCTATGAATTTGCCTATTCTAGACATTTCACATAAAAGGAATCATACAATATGTGGCCTTTTGTGTCTGGATTATTTCACTTAGTATAATGTTTTCAAACTTCACCTGTTTTATGGCATGCATCAATACTTCATTCCTTTAAAAATGTTTCATTGAGATATTAACTCCTCTTTATGGCTAAATAATATTCCGTTGGCCTGATATATACCACATTCCATTTACCTACTCATCCGTTGGTAGACATTTGGGTTGTTTTATTTTGGGCTATTATGAACATATGTGCTACAAACATTTGTGTACAAGTTTTTGTGTGGATGTTTGTTTTCATTTATTTAGATATCTAGGAGTGGAAGTACTGGGTAACATGGTAACTGTTTAACTTTTTGAGGAATTGCCAAGTTGTTTTCCAAAGTAGCTGGACTGTTTTATCCCCTCCCAGCAATATATGAGGGTTCCAACTTGTTTTTTTTTTGGAGCTGAGCCATCCTGTCACCTGTTGGCAGTTCAGTGACTGCTCAGCTCGGGCCAGGACTCGAACCGCTGTTGCTCAGAGCTCAAACTCTTGAGCGAGCTCTTAACCAACTGAGCCACTCGGCCGGCCCCCAACTTCTTCACGTTCTTGTCATCACTTGTTTTTGTCTGTCTGTATTATAGCCATCACAGTGGGAGTGATGGGGTACCGTATTGTGGCTTTGATTTGCATCTCCCTGATGACTAATGAGGTTGAGCATCTTTTCATGTGCTTATTGGCCATTTGTGTATCTTCTTTGGAGAAATATCTATTCAAACCCTTTGCCCATTTGAGTTTGGGTTGTCTTTTTATTGTTGAGTTGTAAGTATTTCCTCCTATTTTGGGGCTGACTTTTCAATTGTCTTGATAGTGTCCTTGGAAGCACAACTAACATTTTTTTCTTTGTTGTTGTGTTTTAAGAAATCTTTTTAAAAGATCTTATTTTTAAAACAGCTTTACTGAGGTGTAATTGACACACAACAAACTTTACGTATTTGAAGTGTACACTTTGGTAAACTTTGACATATGCATACATAGTGAAAACAGCCCACAGTCAAGATAATGAACATAACCATAACACCCCAAAGTTTCTCTGTGCCCCTTTGTCATCCTTTCATCTTGTCCCTTCCTGCACCATACCCTCTCAGTCCTCAGGCAACTAACTATTCATCTATTTTCTATCACTGTAAGTTAGCTTGCATTTCCTATAATATTATCTAAATGGAATTATACAGTATATGCTCTTTTGTTCTGGCTTCTTTCATATAGCATCATTATGTTGAGATTCACACAGGTGTGGGTATCAGTAATTCAGTCCTTTCTATTGCTGAGTAGTGTGCCATTGTATGGATGAACCACAGTTTGTTTAGTCACCTATTGATGGATATTTGGGTTGTTTCCAGTTTTTGGCTATTCCCAGTAAAGCTGCTATGAACGTTCCTGTGCAAGGTTTGTGTGGCTATCTGACTCCATTTTTCTTGATTATCCAGAAAATATCTTTTTCGAATTATAGTTGGCATACAATATTAGTTTCAGGTGTACAACATAGCGATTTCACATTTATATATCTTACAATGTGCGCAACATACTAAGTTTAGTAGTCATCTGTTACCGTGCAAAGTTATCACACTATTACTGACTATGTTCACTCCACCTTTTCACTCATCTCTCCACCCCCCACCCCTCTGGCAATCATCAGTTTGTCCTTTTCTCTATGAGTCTGTTTTTGTTACGTTTTGTTCATTGTTTGGATTTTTAAAAAAAAATCCACATATAAGTGAAATCATGCGGTATTCGTCTTTCTCTGCCTGACTTTTTTCACTTAGCATACCCTCTAGATTAATCCATGTTGTTGCAAGTGGCAGGATTTCATTGTTTATGGCTGAGTAATATTCGTGTGTGTGTGTGTGTGTGTGTGTGTGTGTGTAACACATCTTCTTTATCCATTCATCTATCAGTGGACACCTAGGTTGCTTCCATGTTTCAGTTATTGTAGGTAATGCTGCCATGAACATAGGGTTGCATGTTATCTTTTTGAATCAGTGTTTTCATTTTCTTCCGATAAATACCCAGAAGTAGAATTGTTGGGTCATGTGGTAATTCTATTTTTAGTTTATTGAGGAATCTCAATACTTTTTTCCATAGTGGCTGCACCATTATGCAGTCCCCCCCACAGTGCACAAGGGTCCCCTTTTTCCACATCCTTGCCAACACTTGTTATTTGTTGACTTTGAGAATAGCCATTCTGACTGGTATGAGGTGGTATCTCATTTTGATTTGCATCTCCCTGATGACTAGTGATGTTGAGTGTCTTTTCATGTGTCTGTTGGCCATCTGTATGTCTTTGGAGAAATGTCTCTTTGTGTCCTCTACCCATTTTTGACTGGATTAGTTTTTTGTTATTGAGTTGTATGAGTTCCTTACATATTTCAGATATTGACCCCTTATTGCATATATCATTTATGAGAATATTCTCCCATTCGGTAGGTTGTCTTTTCATTTTGTTGGTGGTTTCCTTCGCTGTGCAGCTATTTAGTTTGATGAAGTGCCATTTGTTTATTTTTGCTTTTGTTTCCCTTGCTTCAGGGGACATATCCAAAAAGACATTACTCAGATGTCAAATACTTTACTTCCTATGTTTTCTTCTAGGAGTTTTATGGTTTTGAGTCTTACACTTATGGCTTTAATCCATTTTCAGTTTATTTTTGTATATAGTGTAAGAGAGTAGTCCAGTGTCATTTTTTTGCATGTATCTGTCCAGTTTTCCCAACACCACTTGTTAGAGAGGCTGTCATTTTTTCGTTGTATGTTCTTGCCTTTGTTGTAGCTCAATTGACCATATAAGCGAGGATTTATTTCTGGGCTCTCTGTTCCGCTCTATTAATCTATGTGTCTGTTTTTGTGCTGGTACTGTACTGTTTTGTTATAGCTTAGTAGTATAGTTTGAAGTCAGGGCAGAAAATATCTTAATAGTAAATATTTGAATAATAACAATTTCATTTCTTGAGTATCTCCTATTGTACCAGGCTCTGTACGTAATGTTTATTAAACTCTGCAAGTTTAGTACTATTGTCCTTACTTTACAAAGGAGAAAGCCAACTCAGAAAGGTCGAGGGACTGGGTCGGGTATAGCTAAGATGATCTTGACTTGGTATCGGAGCTCAGGTCTGGCTGCATTGAAGGCCGTGTCTGCTCGTCTTCTTCCTCCCCCCAAATATATATACTCTCTCCTTTAGCTCTTGAAATCTGAAACTCACTGAATCTTAGAACCACAAAGTCTTGAAATTAAAAAAAATATATATGAACGGAAAATTTAAAAAGCACAAATTTAAGATTAATGAAACAAACATGGTATATAAGCCATAGATGGTAAGAAATAAAACCTTGCCAACATAGTTAAATCTGCCCTGGGTACCCTTTCCCAGTGCCCTCCTTGCCTTCCTGCAGAGGCCTCCACTCTCCTGAATTTGAACCACATAATTTGAGCATCAGGAGGCAGAAGGGTAGAGTGGTTAAAAACACGGGCTCCACCAATTCCTGGATGCATGATCCTGGGCAGGCAAGTAGCCTTTCAAAGCCTCTATGTCCCTATTTGTAAATGGAGATAAAATAAAACAGTCCTCAAAGGGTCACTGTAAAGATTAAATGAGGCTGGCCGAGTGGCTCAGTTGGTTAAGAGTTGGCTTAAGAGCGCAAGCTCTGAGCAGCAGGGCCACTGGTTCAATTCCCACATGGGCCAGTGACGCTGCACCCGAGCTGAGCTGTCACTGAGCTCCCAACAGGTGGCAGGATGGCTCAGCTGGTGTAACAACAAGATTGCCTGTTTGATGGTGGGCTACACCCACCCACAACTAGGACTGAACTCGGCACCTTGAGCTGAGCTGATGCCCAGATGGCTCAGTGGACCAGATGGCTCAGTGGATAGAGCGTGCACTCTTAACAACAAGGCTGCTGGTTTGACTCCCACATGGGATGGTGGCTATGCCCACCTGCAACTAAGATTGAACACAGCACCTTGAGCTTAGAGGCCACGAGCTGCCAACGGGAAGCCAGATGGCGACAGGCGCCCTCCACAACGAAGATTGAGGAATGACAACTTGGCTGGCCCCCTTCCCCAATTCCCCAACTTTGTTCCCCTCCCCCGTTCCCCAATTAAAAAAAAAAAAAAGATTAAATGAAACAAAGCATGTAAACTGATTAGCATGGGGCCTGGCACAAAGGAGGGCTTAGTATATGATGGCAAATATTAGAACCATGGACTCAGGTTCATAAAAATGCTCAAGTTAGAAGGAAGAAGAGGGAACACTGAACCCAACTTTCTTCCCCGGTTTTTGAGATGAGACCAGAGAGACGAGGGACTTGACTAAGCTCACAGAAGGTGAGAAATCTTTGTCTGTGTCCACTTATCTATCGGTGAGAAAGGGAGACAAACAAAGGCATTTTCTGCTTCAAAGTATTTCCTGTTTAGGGACTGAACTTTTCTCAAATATCCAGAGAGCCTTATGAATCCAAAGGTCTGCCTAGAAACAGGTGATGAGGGCCCTGGGCAGCCAATGGATACGTGCTGGCCTTTTCTCCTGCTTGGGGAGCTCCCCCCACTGCCCCATCAAAGTCTGCTTTGCCCCAAGTCAGGGTATTTCCAGCTTTGTGGGTTTCATTTCCACTTCTACTAGGTGGGCGGAGTGGCCTCCTGTGGACGAATCAGATTCCTCCTCAGCCCCAACTTCAAGAGGTGAGCCAGTGGTTCAGGGTCTCAGACACGCAGGCAGCAGCAGCAGCGACAGCAGCAGCGGCAGAAGCAGGAGGCGTGGGAAAGACCAGAGGCCAGAACCATGGAAGACCAGCGTGACCTCATCTCCAACCACGAGCAACTGCCCATGCTGGGCCAGCGCCCCGGAGCCCCGGAGAGGTATGTGTAAGCAGCAGGAGAGAGCACACAAATCCTGGACAGCACAGATGTGCACAGGTGCTGGGCAGGGAGCACTAGACTGGAGTCACAGGAGGCATGGAGTCAGGCTCTGACTCTCACTCTGCTTGGGTGATTTTGAGCAAGTCTCTGGCCTGCCCTGGGCTTCGGTTCTCCCTCCTATAGAATAAGGGAGCTTCTCTAGGGCAGGGGTTTTATAATAACTTTGGTTCCATTATGCATTTCCCTTCTGAAAATCAGAAGAGAGTTCTGGACTCTCCCCCGAGTTTCATACAGTATCAGGGGCTTCACAGACCGCCCCCCCCCAAAACCCTAGGTTAGAAATATTGGACCAGATCTTGAAAATGTTATGGATAATAGATGGAGAAATAGAGTTTCTAAAAAAGAATTAGGAATTCCTCTTTCCTAATAACCATGGATGGGTATACATGTTGTTGTGAAGGGGGTTATAGTTGCAGGTGTCTATAGAGTCGGTGTAGACATTGCCCATCACAGGAGGGTTTGAGAGATGTTGGAAGGGGGTCAAAAAAGGGCAAGGGGGGGGGAGGCTCAGGCTAAATTTCTAGAAGGGGCTGAGGGTTGATGTGGGTCGGTTCTGCCTGTGCCCCTGTCCCTTGCAGTAAGGGGCCAGCACAACCATCTAGAGGACCCTGAGCCCCTTCTCCCATCCCCTAGATGGCCTTGCCCAGGTGTTTTCCTGAAAAAAGGGGCTAGAATGCAGTTACCCCAATGTTCCCCATTCCCCTCAATCTCTAAAAAGTAATTTGTGAATTACTAGGATTTACAGCTAGATGTTATGTCAGCTGTTGCTAGGCAAAAGGGGTTTGAGAGGGACACTCAGAGATGTCATGAGGACCTGTGTTCTAGGGCACAGGTAACAAGATACAGACCATTAGAGTAGCAGCCAGTGAAAATCCTGGGGAATCCCATGGCTAGGAGGGCCAGCTGTCCTGTACAGGTTCTGTACTATCATGTGTGACTTGGATAAATCACTGCTTCTTATTGGGTCTCAGTAACGTAATGACAATGACAATAGTCATGATAATAGTTTCCATTCAGTGTGTACCTGTTACCAGTTTTCAGCCACTGTTAGTATTTACTATGATTAGTTATGGTACGTAACTAAGTGCTAAACTCAATCCTAATTCTCACAGTAACCCTGAGTCAGATACATTTATTATCCCTGTTTTTACATAAGAGAAAATTAAGGCTCATTTTGGTGACTTACCTAAGTTATTAGAGCCAGTAAATAATGGAAGTAGAACCTGAACCCAGGACTAATCTGGTTTCAGAGTTTGAGCTGACTACCATCTGGCCCCCTTTCTAGAAGTACAATTTGCAGGGAAAAGAGGCGGGACCCCTCTGAGCTCAGACTACCCAGGGAGTTGCATACACAGTGTAGGCTCAGTGTACAGACAGGCTGCCCCCTCGTCAAACCCTTGTCTGGTTCTTTTTAGTTCAGTTACTGCTTCTAAAACTGGCACAGCCCTGTGTGCTCAGGCCATTCCAGAGTTGAGCCTGTTTCAGACCCTTTTGTGAACACTTCTGCCTGGCAACAGTTGTGTCATCATTCCTGATAATTTTGGTTGGCTTCCGACTTTGGCTAATTACCTTTTTTTTTGAGAGGCAGTGTAAAGGAGGAAATGAAGAGAGGGTGATGAGTTGGCTTTCATCCAGAACACAGGGGACAGGCATTTACGATGCATAAAGAGGAAGGAAAACAGATGTTAAAGTTGACTCCCTTGAGAATAGTCAGGGTTACTTGTGGAGTGTGAACTATATGTTAGTATTAGAGAGGAGAGCTTTACCTTCACGATCTTATTTAATATAACAACCTTTGAGTAGATGTTCTCACTTCAGTTTACTCAGCGAGGTTGACTTGTCCCTAGTCCCTGAGCTAAAGGAGTAACAGAGCAGCTCTGATCTATGTGGTCTCATCTTTAATTTAGCTCTCTAGATTCTCAGGCCTTATGAGAAACTGAGGTTCAGAGAAGGAAGGGACTTCCCTGAGTTCATTCACATGGTAAGAGGCAGAGCTGGGACTAGACTCAGTGTGGGGTTGCCAAAGGAGTGAGCAGGTAGATAGTGAGCTGGAGACCTTGAACCCAGGCAAGACCCAGGCTTGGGTGGGCTTTTCACCACCTTTACAGGCCAGGCCGCCCGTTCCTTGGAAAGGTCAAGAAATGGGATTTGTTTTCCCTTACTGTATAGTTTCCTTCTTTTCCCCATGCAGAGCTTTTGCTTTCCAGAATAACAATCCCTTCAGCTGGGCCTTGGGCCCGAAACCGAGGGCTGGCAAGCAGGAAGCCAATGAGAATGAGCTGTGCCTGTGATGCCATGAGTTACTAGGCAAAAGCCTCTCCTGGAGTTTCCTAAACCTCCTTGCTGGTTGCCAGAGTAAACTGTGTAGTCTCCTGACAGTTTCCAATGGGGTCCTAGTAGTCCCACTCCTGGGTTGAGGTGGGAGAAAACAGGTCAGGAACTCTCAGGGTCCTGGAGCTAGATCCTTACATCCCCCCATACTGTAACTTGTGCATGTGCCCCCCAAACTGCATCCAAGGCCACAGCTGCTAAGGCTCCCCGAGGTCTGGTTGGCCATCTTTCCTTGTACAGCCAGTCTGTCCAGAGAGCGTGAGAGATTCTCCCAGGTCACACAGGCTCAGGCCCCATACTCCTGCAGAAATCCCCCCTGAATGGATATTACTTTCAAAATACCTCTGTGTCCACAGTTAGCTCTTACTTCAAAGAAGAAAACTACCAAATCCTAGAATTGCTGAGGTGAGAGGTACCCATGTGACAGGCCCAGAGAGTGGCAGAGACTTGCTCAAAGACATACAGAGTCTGGGGCAGAGAATGCCCCCAACCTACTCCTAAAATATCAAGGCTTCACTTCTCTCTTTCAGGTGGGCTGTGAGCTCTGCTGCCCAGATCCCACTTCCTTCCCTTTTCTGATTTCACTGCAGGGGTTGGGTGGGTAGGAGGGTAAAAACCCCCTTCCTCTTGAGGGGCAGCCCTGGCAGAGGGAACCTGGGGAGACCCTCCGCCTCAAACCCTCATTCCACTGAGGCCCAGGGGACAAGGCACTTGTCCCTGACTCTTCCCCACTCAACCTAGGCCCAGGGGCAGCTCCAGGATTTCGATTTGGGAGACCTGTAGGGCCAGCACTGGTTGGAAGTAGGACCAGGGAATGTCTTTAAGCTGCATGCCCAAAGGCACTTGTTTGTGCCTAAAGCGTGTGCTTGTTAGGGGTAGCTGAGGGAGTGGGTGGGCTGATGGAAATGGGGGGACACATTCCCCCCCTCCCAGCCAGTCCTAGGGGCAGCCACCTCCATGAACTCTCCTCTGACTTATCCCCACTCTCCCCAACAGGAAGTGCAGCCGTGGAGCCCTGTACACAGGCTTCTCTGTCCTGGTAGCTCTGCTCCTGGCTGGCCAGGCCACCACCGCCTACTTCCTGTACGAGCAGCAGGGCCGGCTGGACAAGCTGACGGTCACCGCACAGAACCTGCAGCTGGAGAACCTGCGCATGAAGCTTCCTAAGCGTGCGTGCTCCACATCCACTGTGACAGCCCCACACCCCCACTGTCCCTCCCCTCAGAGACCCCATTCCTGCACCTAGCTGGGCCCATTGTCCTTTCCCTCCGGGCTGGAGTTCCAGCCCCTCCTCATTTGGGTCTGAGGTCTTGGTCCCGGATCTGAGCACCCTCTTCCCTGGGCACCGGGGCCACACTCACGCTTTATCTCCTAACTCCACAGCTGCCAAGCCTTTGAGCAAGATGAGGATGGCCACCCCCATGCTGATGCAGGCGCTGCCCATGGAAGGCCTGCCCCAGGTAAGGGAACCCCAGGGCAGTGGAAGGGGCAGGTGTCGTCAAGCCTGGATGGAGGGCAGGTGCTAAAGGACAGGACAGCTGACCCAGGAAAAGCCCAGCTGGGGAGCTGTTCTGAGTCCCCATCTCAGGAAGAAGAGGAATCCCAGGGCTGGTGGAGGCAAGAGCCTCTTGGGGCCATTCCTGGAAGGGAGGCCCAGCCCTCCAGTTTACAAGGGGCTTTTCATGTCCCATAGCACCTCACAGTGCCCACCCATTCTCAGAGCCTTTACCATGTAAATGGATAATGTTGCCGTCCACAAGCCCTGGGTGGGAAAGTGTATGCAGATTTGACCAATAGGGACATTGAAGCAGGAATGTAGTAACTTGCTTGGACTCTCACATTTGGAGGTGGCAGAGATGGTCCTGGTGAGCATTTGGGAATCCACTTACTCGGACTCCAGCTGCTGCCTGTGCCAGGGCCCCTCCTCTGGGGGCCAGCGCTGGTAACCCCCACTCCTTCCTTCCACAGCCCAAGAACATCACCAAGTATGGCAACGCGACCGAGGACCATGTGATGCACATGCTGCTGGTGAGTGGGACCCGGCTGGGCAGCCCTGCCTGCCCTTACAGACCCCTGGCAAGGCTGTAATCCGAGGCCTGCACCACGAGACATCCAGGAGGGGCTCACCAGATTAGCGAAGGGACATGAGTGGCCCTTAAACGCTATATGTATTCCAGGTCCCACCGCTCCCCGTTTTTTTTGATTGTTTGAGATGGAGAAACCAAGGCCCAAATCCTGGAAGTGTCTTAATCAAGAGCCCGTTTTTTCCTTGCCAAGTTTTCACTGCATGTCTTCTCTGTGCCAGGAGCTGTGCAAGGCTCTGGGCCCACAGCAGGGAGCAATCAGACCCAGCTCCCAAAACCAAGGCCCAAATCCTGGAAGTGTCTTAATCAAGAGCCCGTTTTTTCCTTGCCAAGTTTTCACTGCATGTCTTCTCTGTGCCAGGAGCTGTGCAAGGCTCTGGGCCCACAGCAGGGAGCAATCAGACCCAGCTCCCAAGCCCATGGGGATCCCAGGTTGGCATGGGAAGTAGAAAAATGAACAGGTGATGAGGGATATGCAGGGGGCCTTGTGAGAAAAGACTCAGAGGACTCAACATGGCTGGGGGTGGGGTCCAGGAAGTCTTCCTGGAGGAAGTGAAACGTAAAAGACGAGTAAGCATTGGCAAGAATAGAAGACTGGGCCTGGAACCTGGGTCTCCCACCTTCTAGCCCTGGGGTCTTGTAGCTGTGCAGCAGCTAGACTGCGCTTACTGCCTCTTCTCCCTACCAGCTCCATCACGGCTGAGGTCCAGGGGCCAAGCTTGGTGCACCTGGGTCCACCCCTCAGAATGCAAGACCAGGGGAACATAGGTTGCACACTTCATTTTACCTGCCAGGGAGCTCTTTTTAACCTTCTCTCCTGCCCTGCTATCCTGCAGAGGGCCAACCCCCTGAAGGAGTACCCGCAGCTGAAGGGGAGCTTCCCAGAGAACCTGAAGCACCTTAAGAACACCATGGAGGGCCTGGACTGGAAGGTCAGTGGGTCTCCCTGCACTGGTGCCCTCCTCTCCTGGTATCTAGGGCAGGGCTGGGAAGAGGTGGGGTGAGAGATGGCTGGGGGAGCCATTCTCAGGAAGCTAGAGGAGGCTTACCAGAACTTACAAAGCCACACACGGGAAAGTGCTTGGAGTTGAGGAACTGTCTCAACCAAGCCCTGTGGGTCTCTAAGGGGGGTCCAGGATGCCGCTGGACTCCGGGGTGTAGGGAGCCTGCCTGGTCCTCTATGTCTCTGACCCCAGGGGCAAAGCCAGGCAGGGTTAGCGAGGGCTCTTGAGCCTGACCCCCTGCCTCTGTCCCCGTTAGATCTTTGAGAGCTGGATGCATCAGTGGCTCTTGTTTGAAATGAGCAAGAACTCACAGGAGAAGCCCACTGAGGCTCCACCAAAAGGTACAGTTGGGAGCCTTGGGGTGCTAGGGCTTCTGGGGGTTCCCTCAGGACTCTCTGAGCTACGGAGCTTAGAGCCTAAAGCACTCCCTGATCGAAGCACGGGACTCTCGAAGCCTCTCAACTCTCTCCTGTCTCTCCTGCCTGTCACTTCTGGGCTTGGCTGTCCCCCCACTCCCATCCTATCTAAGGGCCCACAGGTACAAAGGCCTCCCCTCACTTGTGGAGGGTGGCGGAGCAGAAACCACTCGAAACATCCCAGCAGTCATCACAATGACCCTTTCCCACCAATCAGAGACCTCCCTGAGGTCACGTATTCAGCAGGTGCCATCCAAGAGGGCCTTGGGTTTTTCCATCTCATGGATAATGTGTACCAGGATTTTCAGCCCTAACGCCTTTGAATGCTATGTTTTTAATCCTGGTGATAATCTGCCATGCAACTTTGGGCCTCTCTTCCCTCTGGGCTTCAGTTTCGGAAGTGGAAGATCAGTGGCCCATCCTGTGCAGGCCTGATTTTTCCACCACAGATTCACAGAAGGCACCTTAGATGCTAGCTCTCCCAACTTCCAGCTGTTTGAATCCCCTCTACGTCATCCACAAACAAACCCCCATTTCTACTTGTACACTCCCAGCAACAGCTCAGACTTACCAAGGTGTCCACTGTTTTTCCTTAGAAATCAGAATCATAAGTGCAATTCCAAATTTTAAAAGGCATCGAGTGTGAAAAAAAATCTAGTTCTGGGATGAATGAGCCACAGCCATTCACTTCCTCTTTGAGATCGTGGACCTTGATGTCCGGGCCTCAGTTTCCCCATCTGTTCAATGGGTAGAGTACAGTCACTTGGGCAAAAGGCATTAGGCCCACAGCAGTGTACGTGGATCTCTGGTTCTGCTGAGACCCTGGCCCAGAGCCTGCTCACTCACTGTCTTCACCATGACTGTCGCTTCAGTACTGACCAAGTGTCTGGAAGAGGTCAGCCGCATCCCCGCTGTCCACCCGGGCATGTTCAAGCCCAAGTGCGACGAGAATGGCAACTATATGCCGCTCCAGTGCTATGGGAGCATCGGCTACTGCTGGTGCGTCTTCCCCAACGGCACCGAGGTCCCCCACACCAGAAGCCGTGGGCGCCATAACTGCAGTGGTAAGCAGTGGCCACTGTGCCAGGGTCTGTCAAAGAAGCAGGAAGGACCAGGAAGGCTGAGGGGCAAGAGGTCACTCCTGGCACACACGTGGCCAGGACACTCAAGGTGGCAGCTCCCAGGGGAGTGGGGGGACAGCCAATCAGCCATGCATCCACCCACCTGTGCACTCCTCACGTTTGTCCATCCACCTACCTGTGCACTCCTCACGTTTGTCCATCCACCTACCTGTGCACTCCTCACGTTTGTCCATCCACCTACCTGTGCACTCCTCACGTTTGTCCATCTATCATTTCTTTCCTTAAATCCGCACTCATCTTATTCCTTTAATCCTTTTATTGTGATTTTTACCCATCCATGCGCTATTCACTCATGCATCCCAAAGTCCTACAGATCACTCATCCCATTTCATCACCCCCTTCCTGACCTTTCTCTCAATTCTCCCAACACTTCACTGCCACCATCCAGCAAGCATCCTTCCATTCAGCCTGCTCTCCCAGGACAGGCCTGTGGCTGAGTAGGGAAGAACTAGCCCCTTAACAGTGGGTGTGGTAGCTGGAGTGCAGATCACAAATGGCCTTGCTGCTCCTTTGCAGAGCCCCTGGACATGGAGGATCTGTCATCTGGGCTGGGCGTGACCAAGCAGGATCTGGGCCCAGGTAAGGGTTCCTGCAGGGGGGCTCCAGTCCCCAGCTGGGCCAGCTTCCTCATGGGTGGATGCCTGACGTGGCATGACCCTGGTCTGTTCTCCAGCCTCCCTGAGGCATACATTTCATAAATGAGGAACAGGGTTGTGGGGGGCTCTGATGGTATTTGTATCCGAACAGGAAGCGGTGGAGGGTACAGGGATGCTGGGAAGGGGCAGGGACAACAGGTGACCCCAGTCCTAACCTGCTGCTTCTCTCTCAGCACCCATGTGAGAACAGCCAGCGAAGACACCAGCACCCAGCAGCTCTGCAATGACCTGTGTCCTTGCTCCCGTCCCCCAGCCCTAGCCCTACACTCCTCCCCCCTCCCCTCTCCCCCCTTGCACCTCATTCCATGAGATTGGCGCCTGGCTCTCCATCATCCTCGGACACAACAAATTACATTAGAATAGCACAGATTAACAGTGCAGGAGGGACCTGCTGCCCAGCCCTCCATCCACCAGCAGGGACGCACGGCCCAAGGAGGTGGACCTGGAGCTCGGCTGACCACTTCCGACCCCACAGCAGCCTCCAACGTGGAGCTCTGAGATCCAGACACATGGACGGGGAGGCAGGTGCAAGGAGAGGGGGTGGAGCTCCCCCAGGCCCCAGGCCCAACACGTTTGCTGTCCCTCCCCTCTGGCTTTGCAGCCTATGGAACTTGGGGGCACGAGTCACCCTCTCCCTCTCTCCAGCATCACTCACCAGGAAGAACCATCCTCTCCACCCATAACCTCTCCCCAATCTCCGCCAGCCCCCAGTTCCCTCTATGCAGCAAGCTTGTCATCAGCCCTTAGGGCTGTGGTTCCTGTGAGAATAAAGGTAGAAAGTAGACACTTCCGGCTGCTGGGTGTTCTGTTGGGATCTGGCTTGTTTACCACAAGGAGGTGACAGAAGGCCTTGAATCCAGTGGTCTGGACTGGGGGACGCAGCTCAGGGAGCCCAAACACACATGCCTGTGGGGCCAGGCAGGGAGGGGTGCTGCCGTCTTTGGACACAGACACACTTGGTTTCCATGTTTAACACAGAGGAACACTCTGCTTCCAAAAGGAAGTAAGTTCTTGCCCAAAGTTCCTAAGCACCATCTCCTCTTGGTCCAACTTGCCTTTTCCCATACCCCCATTTTCAATGCCATACTAAGGACGAGCCTGATGACAGATGGCAACCACAGAGGACCCCAGCCGGTTGTTGCCAGGGGATAGCAGAGGCCCCTGTTGCCAGATTTCTTTTCAAGAGGCGCCCCAAATCAGGACATTCAGTGAAAACTCTCCGTTTCAACGAAGCCCAACTAGACACTACTTTGTGGCCTGTTCCTAGACCAACACGCTTACGGAGACAGAGGCTGAGGGCCTTGCCCAAGGGTCCTGGGTTAAGGGTACAGCCGGATGCCAACCTGGGCCTCTAAGACCACCCAGCTCAGTGCTCTCTTTCTGCATGGCCTCTCTGTCTAGCAGAAGGCTGAAAACCGTGGAGAACAATCTCCGCGACCTCAGGTGCTCCACACTGCTCTGGGCCCAGGAAGTGGGCCTCTGCATTGCCGGCTGCCACCAAGTCCTGAAGATGTCACCCTGACATACATTTCGAGTTCCTCCACTTCCTGCCTTCATCATTACAGAACCTTTATTACCTGGACACAAGAGCAACTCAGTCCTAACTGGTTTTCCTGCTCTTGCCACAGCTATTCTCGACCAGATACCTCAAAAGGACCTTCCCCCAACTCAAGTCCTAACTTCAAAAGGTGGCTCTTCCATGCCTTACCTCGGGATATCTGCCTGGCCTACCCACCATGGTCATGCCTGAGCTCTCCCTTAGCTAAGATGCCACCTCCTCCAGGAAGCCTTCCCCACCCCAACTGAGCACCAGACACTTGACTGAGGAAAACGGTTCTGTTCCACTCACCACAGCATCCCAGGGGCTTCATACACAACCAAGAACAAATCCTGAGCGATGGTTTGTTCACCTTCAAGTGTCAGCCAGACTCTCCCTTCCAAGAATAAGTCAGTTGCAAAACATCTGCCCCAGGTGCATCAGGAACTTGCACCTTTCCTTCAAGTCTTTTTATTTTGAGTTCTTAAAAAAGAAACACCACAAAATGGGAAAAAACTGACAAGAGGGGGACAAAATTTCAGTGTCAGCCAGGGACCAGGGACATGGACGGAGTGGCAAGCTGGGCCTTCCTCGGTCTGCAGGACAAAAAGGTGGACAGTCCCAAGGTCTCTGTGCATGTTGGGTCTGAGAAGGGAGAGGCGGGTTACTTAAAAAAATATATATATATACTGTACACATCTATACGCAGCATCCTGTGTCAGGACAGAAGTCAGGCGCGGGGTCAGTGAGTGGACTTCGTCGTCCTCCTCGGCAGGGCTCCCGGGCTCGGCCAGCACGAACACTGTGGCTGGCCATCTTCTTCTGGGGAGGGGAAGTTAGAAATTCAATTCCAACCCATGGTGGGCAGAGGGCAGAGGCTTGCGGCTGGGCACCCCTTGGCTAAGAAATCCCTGGGGAAAGGACACACATCTGGACCAAATCAAAAGCTGGCATCTCAACACAGGGACATTTCAGTGCTAATCCCATCCTCGGAAGTGGGCTGAGTGCTTTGGTGACTGATTTCATTCCTCGCCACCAGCCCAGGCAGGCTCTGTATGGCCCCCATTTATAGCATGATGGTGGCTGCTGGGTCTGCCCAATGGGTGGAGCACTGAGCCCCTTCACCGTCACCCAGGAAGCACAGGTCCATCAGAATAGCTTGTCTTGAGCAGACCATCTCCTTTTCATGCAAATGCCCTCAAGTTACAAATCGTAAGGAAAAGGAACTGGACAGCGATGAAGGAGAGACCAAGCTCAAGCCTTCTCTTCATTAACCCCAGTGCCCACCTAAGGCATGCACAGTGCCTGCACCCAGGGAACGCTCAGTGCCAGCCATTCATGACTGTCCTGTAGCTCCAGCTCCTGGCATCACTCCGCTGACCTTGAACAGAACCTCACCCTCCAGCCCCCCTTTCCCTTGGCGCCCACCCACCAGGTCCTGTCTGGTTCCCCAGGACCCCACGGCAATGCTGGAGCTGCCCTCCCACCCTCACCCAGGAGCGGATGGTCAGAAGGGGTCCCCAGGCCAGGAAGCCTACCTGCTGCCTTGCGCCCCTTAGACAGTCTGTTCTGCTGTCTTCTTCTGTAAGGAGACAAGTGTGAGGCTCTTGTACCTGAAGCGTCTCTCTACCCACGCCACTGCCACCAGGAGGGGATGTCACAGTTCCCTCCTGAGGATTCAAGGTCTCCCCAGAACAGATACTGTGTGTGCAGGGATCCCCAAGGGCAGGGACAGTGTCACGCATGCCTTTGAGGGTGGAGCCCAGGCCCTTGCAGCAACAGATGGTCAGCTTTTCTGAACACAGCTGAGGTCCCGCTGGCCAGTGAGAGCTTTGTCGGCATAGGGTGCTCACCCCCTCCCCCAGCCCCTCTTCCTTCAGGTGGACAGCCTTTATCTCCCATAAAGCGGACGAGTGTGTGTCTCTGGGGAGCGGACTCCTGGCAGCTAGGCACGCGTCCCAGGCCATGTTTCCTCTCACCTGAAACCTGTCCTTGCTGCTCCCTAGGGGTTGCCTTCCTTCACCCACCCAGAAACATCCTTCTACCTCAGACAAAATGGGGTCACTTCCATGGCTTCCACACGCACAGACCTTGTCCTTCCTCGGGCTGGCTCTTCTCTAGTGTCACTACCCACAAGCACCTCACCCCACCCAAAGACCCTGAGAATGGGGGCAGGGACCTGGTCTGGCTCCCACCCCATCCCGACATGCACAGGATGGGGCTGATCACATTCACCCAGGGGACTGGGTTGGGGTCACTTTTCTGACCTGAAACCCCTCAGGAACTCACTCTACCTTTTTCTTCTTTTTCTTCTTGAATTGTAAGTCAGGGTCTTTGATTGAGGCCTTTTTGGCTTTCTTCTTTTCCTTGTCTTTTTTTTCTGAGGGAAGAGAGTAAACTTCCTAAGGCGTTTGGGTCAAGGTCTCCAGGAATCCTAGAACTCACGCCTCCAGATTTGGGTCCCCCAGCTCTCCCCACACCCTGGGAGGCTTTTGTGACCACTTGCTCTGGCCTGAGAGCTCTCAGGGCCAGCCTCATGATTTCTGCCCAATGCATGGATCACCTGGACTATTACTATTTTCTCTAACTCACTTTTAAAAACTACATATTTATTTAAAAGACACTTTGTACCTATAAAATGGGAATGAAATATCACCTACTATACAGGGCTAAAGGAGGCCCTATCACACACAGAGTCTAGCACAGAGCTCAGTAAGGGGCAGCTTTACCGCCGACAGGACACTGCTGTCTAGGACATGGACCCGAAAAGCCTGAAGCTGGAAGTGCACGTGACTGCAGGCGGCTCTGAGTGAGCTCAGTGGGGAGCAGGCCACACTCTGGAGCCCCGGGGTCTCCCTGGCAGTGCTGGCCCACGTGCTCCCGGGTCCAGTTCTGGCTTTGCCACTGCCTGTCCTCCATGACCCCGGAAAAAGACGTCTCCATCTTTCCCTTCGGCGTTGGCCGAGGGCCCAGCCCACCCGTGTGGTGACTGACCGCCCTCAGCACAGGCCCAGGGAAGCGCGCTCCGGGCTGCAGGTGGCCACTTACTCTTGTCAGGTTTTTTCTTCTCCTTCTTGCTCTTCAGGTCGGCTTGGTCTCCACCCTCAACCTTCACCATTTCTGGCTCCCCTTCTGGCTTCTCCTTGACCCCTTGGGGGCCAGGAGGCTCCTCCTTTTTCTCCTTGCTGTCGCCACTTGCTGCGTTTCCCTTAGATTTCCCCTTGGTAGTCCTGGGGGCCTTTCCCGGGGAGGCAGCGCCCTCCCTGTCTTCCCCGGCCTCCGGCTGCTTCTTCTTCTTGCTCTTGGGGGTCCTGACCGCTGCCTGGTCTCCTGACAGCTTCCGCTTGTGGCCCACCCGGCCCTTCTTGCTGCTCTCCTTGGTGGCATCCATGACCTTCTTCCTTTGCTGTTCCACCAGCTCCGTCAGGACCTTCACCACAGTGGCCTGGACCTGGGGCTCACTCAGGAGGCGCTGGGTGATGGCACTCTGCAGCGCCAGCACTGAGGCTTGACGGCTCCCGGCCCCCTTCCTGGGCTTCTGAGCTGTGGTGCTAGCCTCTCTTCTGCCTAGAGAGAGAGGTCTTACGTCATGAATCTCAGAGATTGGGAAATAGTACAGGAGTCAAGCGGATCCAGGGACAGAACTGATGTCCTCTGACAACGGTACAGATGGGACAGACGAGACCCAGTGGTCACTCTACCCCCACTGCGCTGTTCCGCCACCTTCTAACTTAGAACTCCCGTCTCCTCACACTAAAATCTCAAGTTTGGGTTGGGGATGGAAAATGACTCCCAAATGTTAATGAAAGGGCTTGAAACCTGTCAACAAAATGCAAGGTCAGACAGGAAGCAGATGGTGTTGTCTAGTCAGGAGTCCAGAGCTGGGAGGCGGGAGACCTGGATTCTAGGTCTGACTACCACCAACTTGCTATATAACCCGTGGCCTGTTTCCGATTGTAAACTGAGGGGGTGAGATGAACAGTGACATCACCCCAATCTAAACTGTAGGTTCATCGTAAAAGTGAAGGCCATGTAGCCACTGAACTCATGCCCGTCTACACAGTGGGCCCATGGCCCTTTCTGCCCAGAGGTCCAGGCGGCTTGGGGGTGACATGGCAGGTTTACTGCCTGCCTTTGTTTAGAATTTTCCACGCCTCTGTTCTCCTTTGATAACTGTGCTGACTACACGTGTGACAAAAACCTCCACAGCCCCCTTTAAAATGTCACCCTGTCGCACCCGCCTCTCACAAAGAAGAAAAGGGGGGAAGAAAGTGAGCAACGGCTCCTCTGCTGACCCAGTACCGGGCAAGCTGTAGCTAAGAGTCCAAAAACTGGGGGGTATGGGACAACAGCACAGGTCCCAACACCACCCCTAACTTCCCAGGTGACTTGGCAGGTCTCTACTCCATTCCTGGCCGCACAGGCCAAGCGCTCCTACAAGCTGGGCTCTGAAAGGTGCTCGGCGGCTTGGCCCTGCTCCATGTCATGCGTCTGGGGCTGTTCCCTGCAGCGTGCAGCGGGGGCCTGGAATGGGACCTGCAGCAGCTCTGGCTCCAGAGCTGTGGTAGACGAGGGAAGGTGGGCAAGGCAGGCTGAGCAATGGGGTCCCAGGGCAGAAAGAGGCCCGATTCAGTCGTTTGGTGGTTCCTAGCAAGGGCAGGAGTGGGCTGGTGGGGAGGCTGCTGGGAGGGTCCAGTTGGCCCTGGCAACCTCTTTCCCTGCAGCCCGCTTCTTTGCTTCCTGTTTACAAACACCCAGAGCACCAAGGCCGGAGAACCCCTAGAGCTGACCCAGGTGTACCTGTCTGAGATACCTGTCCTTTAGCGCTGGCAGAGTCAGGGGTGGCTGACGACCCAGCCCGGGTGACCAGAACCTTCCTGTCTGCCCCCCAAATAGCACGTGACTACTTTTTATGTGAGCCACGCCTCGACACCGACTGGATGCACCGACCCCTGCCATGTGAGGTTAAGACACACAGGCCCAGGGTGGCCAGGGGCTCGTCTGCGGCTTCAGAGCAAGCCTGCCCATCGCCTGGGGTCTTCACCATGTGCTGGACACTTCTCCGAAAATGGCTCCTGTCTTTCATCTGAGCTCCCTGAATCTCTATACCCCACACCATGAGCCCATTTATCAGGAAGAGAAATCAACAGGGACAGCTAGAGAGAGCCGAGGCCTACTCCACAAGCCAGGGTGCACTTCCTCTAAGGTAAGGGTCACCTGGCCAGGTGCACCAGCATCCCACAGGAGCCAGACACCTGGGCATGGTCCCCGCTGCACTTTGAGGAGCACCTCCAGGTTTGATGCAGGGGTACCAGGCCTCACTTGCAGAGGCCTAGTGACAGACAGGACCGTGCTGGTGGACTATTCCTAAGGGAAGACGGAGGCTCTGCCTTGGTCTTCCGCATCCTGCTGTTTGTCCTGTGGCCCTTGACTCACCTGTTTTAGGGGACATAGTGGCTGCTTGTTGGGGCTCCACTTCCCGCTTGCCATCTGGGGCATCCTTGGTGGCCGGAACAGAGGAAACCGAGGAGGAGGGTTCTGGCTTGGGAATGGCCTTTGCAGCCTGGGAAATGGACGGAGTCAGTCCAAGGGTCACATGACCTGAGAGGAGAGACTGAAGAAGTCCCGTGTGAAAGACGCCAGGACCCTACTCCACCCAGCCCTTGAGTGCATGGCCTGCTGTGAAGGAACCAGTCAAGGGACCCCTAAGATCAGGCCAGCCCTTTCGGGCTGTGTGGTGAGCACACCAGCCCTGTGTGTGTGTACGTCCTGTGCTATTTTAATTAATACATATTTTAGACAGGCACATTTAAAAGGAAATTTCTTATTACTAGTGCAAATGGAAAATCATTACCACTTATCATGTACAGATGATAACATTAAAAGAAATCCCATCTGTAAAGAATGTTTTTATATGAGCATCACCTAAAATCAAGGCGAGTCCTTTCTATAGACTCCAAGAGGCAGCTACTCACGGCTTCATGCTGAAATGGGGTCTTGGGGGAGGAGACGGCATGGCTCCACGCAGACAGAACCCTACCCAGGGCCCCCGGGAAGAAGGGCCCTGATCTCTGACCTAGGGGTCAACCTCAGCCTAAGGCTGCACCAGGTGGGCACAGCCTGCACCAGGCTCCTGCTCCAAGACCCCCGAGGTTGCTAGTCCTCCCCTCTGTGGTTACCTGGGAAGGCGCCACCACCTCGTCGTCGCTGGACTCGGCTGTGGTCTCCTCCACCAAGGTGTCCTTCTTGGAGGGGGCTGGACCTGCTGGAGGAACACAGGTATCCTGTTGGGAGTCCCAGGTCCCCCCTGGCAGCTGGGCAGGGAAGGGTCCTTCATGAGGGCCCCCGGGTTGGCTGGGTCCGTCTGTACGCACCTCCCTTCCACCTAAGGCTTCATCTGCTCCTACTGCTCCAAGGTCAATTGCTATTCACAGCACTACAGGCAGGACACCCGAATACCCAAACCTTCCATTCTAATTGCCGAGATCCACTTACACTTCCCTGCTTTCCCGCAAGGGGTGGATGGCCCTGGGATTTGGTGCGTGTGTGGGGTCAGCTATGGGAGCCTGGTTCCAAAAAGCTGGGAGTGGTCAAACAGCGCCAGAGGGTCTCTGACAGCATTTGGACAAACTTCCTCATGCGTTTGTACAGGTGGGGAAACAGGCCCGGTGTGGGATGACTAGGCCAAGGGCACAGCACAAGCAGAGATACAGAGGCCTGAGCCTAGGGCTCCACCAGGCCGCCTCTACCCTCCTCCCGGCCCACCCAGGCTTTTCCTCCTGGGACCCTCACCCTGCCTGTGGGCCAACGGGGCCACCTGGGGCCTTTCGGCGTCCTCCTCGTTCCCTGAAGAGCTGCTGCTGTCATCTGAGGTCTCAGGGGCCTTGACTCGGGGGCATCCCGAGGGAGGGGCCGTGGACTGCTGCACTGCAGAAGCCTCGTGCTTTCTGAGCTTGTTGGTCACTCTGGCTGGCACAGGGGTGCTCTGGGGACTTGCCACAGGGAGTGCTCCCAGAGCACTGTCAGTCTAATTTGGTGGAAGGAGAAGAGGAGAAGGAAAACTCAGAGGAAATAAGATCTGGCGCTTGAACCTCAGTTACAGACCAGGCGTTGTGCTAGCTGCTCCCCACAACTCCCTAAGATGGGCAGCCGAGGCCTGGGGAGGGAAGCATGCACACGTGCTCAGGTCACAGGGCAGGTAAGCGCTGGCGCTGGGACTCGCGCCCCTGCCTAGGCCTCCCTTCTTCCCTGTGGCCTTTGATCACTGTCCCCTCCAGAGTAGGACTTGGCCCCCCTGGCTCCCCAGCTCACCCCACTTGAAGTCAGGGTCCTAGCAGCAGGAGGCTGGGCCTCACTGGCTTGCTGAGCAAGGACCTTCAGGGCAGCCTGGGTCAGTGGAAGGTGAGCCAGGTTCCTGTTTGTCACCTGTGGACAGCCGAAGGCAGCCCTGAGACTCCTGGGTTCTCAGGTGTCCTATCTGCCATGCCCTGGTCAGATCCCATCCGGCTTGGGTGGGAGGGGACCTGTATCTGCAAGTAGCCATGGGGCTGGAGTGGGGACTGAAGGGTGGTCAAAGGGGCCATGCCACTATCTGGGTAGAATACGGTGCCAGGCTTCAGGTTATGAGCTAATCATACAGTTCTCGGGGAGTCCAAAAACAGCCCCAGTCCTAGGGAGGTGAGGGGCCCAGGCTCCACCCAAGGCCGCACCACTTAATCTGAGCCTTCACTGGGGACAAGTCTTTAGCCTGGTGGCTGCAACAGCCTCCTCAATGGTCTCCCTCATGCCACTTGTGCTTCCCACACCCACCAGCAATAAGGGAGAAAACTGACACGAGAACTGGGTGTGACTCAAACTGGGCGTGACTCCTCACATACACCTCCCGTCAGCAGCTATGCAACCCCAACCCCAGCCTTTCAGGACCAGCCCCTCCCCCCATACCACTTCCTCCAGCTCTCTGACCCCCAAGCGCTTCCCCAGAAGGTCCTTGCACCTGGGTTTCCTTGCATGGGACGCTCCCCAGCTCACCCTGGCCTGGCTGCTACTCCTGTTTTCATGTCACCTTTTCGGGGAGGCCACTGCTGCCCATCCTTTCCAAAGCAGCTCACCCCATTATTCTCCAGTTTATATAGTTTCCTTCAAAGCACTCGCCAGCTGGTGAGCACTGCAGTTTTTGGTTTCCATTAGAGGCTGCGGCCCCACTTGGGAACTCCATGAGGGCAGGGACTTCCCTGTCTTGTTCCTGCTGAACCCCCCAATGCCCTGCACGGACAGGCGCTCAGCACCATCTGCTGGCTGAACGGCTGAATGGATGCAGGGACCGCGGCCCAGACACCCACCCAAGCACACGATGAGCCCTGAGCTGGGGGTGCTCAACTTCCGCTCTGGACCCCCCAACTCTCTCCGCCCTTTCAGAAAGAAGGGGTGAGGAAACAGGAAAACTGATATGGCCCAAAGAGCAATGAATTGGGGGCCAGGAGAGTTGGGTCTGGCCCCCCTAATCCTGGACAAGTCTCAACCCTCTTGTTGAGGGGGTGGTGCTGCTTTATCATCTGAACAACGTAATAAGCCATGAACTGTACCCTGCTTGGTTTTAGATTCCGGCAAGGACCAAATAAAAATGCACTGAAAATGATGAAGGCTGGGAAGATAAAGTCACTAGTATGAACACTGAAAAAGGACAACTTTTATTCATAGCATCCAAAACTAGGAGGAAAAAAAAAAAAAAGAAACCAAAGCCCAGTCATGTTGGAAAAGCTGACGAGGGGCTCAGGGAGCAGTGCTGGCTCTGCCTGGGACCATGCTCCCAGATCAATCTTCCTGACCACTCAAAGGTAATCCGGGAGCTCGGATTGGGGTGTAGCCAGAGGGCAGGAGAGGCTCTGGCTGCGGAGGCCAGCTACTTCTGCGGGGGTGGATGAGAGCAACTGCAGTCCCACCCAGTGGCACGTGTGGGTATGAGGGGAGAGCAGGGAGCTCCCTCACCCCTGCCGGTGTGCACAGCCCTCCCTTGTCCGCCAGGTACCTGAGTGGCTGGTGCCTTCTGTTTCTTGCCTTCTGTCACCCGACTGGACTCCTCACTAATCTTGGTCCCAGCAACGCTGGCTCCGAGGGCTGTTCTTAGGTGGGCCTTGGGCACGGACACCACGTTGGTTCTAATGGCTGAAATGGAGCGGGATGGGGTACACGTCAGGGCACAGAAATCCCATGGCCTCCCCAGCTGTGGCAATACCCAATTTATCAGCCCTCGTACGGTACTCGGGGCTGATGCAATGGAAACCTGTATAATGCCCTCCCCACACCTTCTAGGCAGGAGCTGTCTCAAGCTTCATGTTACAAGGCTCAGGGAGGTCACACGGCTGCTGGAACAATGACCCCGCTTTCTCCTCAGCTCCCCCCCACCCCCCCACACACACACTTCAGTCCTTCACAATGTTTCCCCTCAGCTGGCCCAGCTGCTACTCCTAAGCAATGGGTGGGAGCACTGGTGCCAAATGAGACTTCTTGTGCATTTAAAACAGTCTCTCATGGGACTGGCCGAATGGCTCAGTTAGTTAAGAGTGCAAGCTCTGAGCAACAGGGCTGCCGGTTGGATTCCCACACGGGCCAGTGACGCTGAGCCCAAGCTGAGCTGTCGCTGAGCTGCCAATAGGTGGCAGGATGGCACAGCTGGTGTAACAACAAGACTGCCTGTTCGATGGTGGGCTACGCCCATCCGCAACTAAGACTGAACTTGGCACCTTGAGCTGAGCTGCCGCTTGGATAGCTCAGTGGATAGAGCGTGTGCTCTTAACAAGGCTGCCGGGTTCGACTCCCGCATGGGATGGTGGCTATGTCCATCCGCAACTAAGATTGAACACAGCACCTTGAGCTTAGAGGCCACGAGCTGCCAACAGGAAGCCAGATGGCGACTGGCGCCCTCCACAATGAAGAGTGAAGAACAACTTGGCTGGTCCCCTCCCCCAATTCCCCAATAAAATCTTAAAAAAAATTTTTTTTTAAATAAATGAATAAATAAAACAGTCTCTCATGAGACTCACACGGTCATCTGCAAAGGCTGTTACATGATGCTCACTGCAGTGCTATTTATAAGAGCCAAAAAAGCTGCCCAAACAAAACCCTCAGCTTCCTCTGACATGGCACTGGCAAACTATGGTACGAGAGCTAGCAGGAATCATGCTATAAATATGTAATGTTACAATATATCAAGTAAGGACCACTGAGCACATGTACAGTATGGTCTCACTACAAACACATGGGTATAGCTTAGGTTTCTGTAAAGTTAATAGTTGTAAAACGTTAACAGTAATTATTCCAGGCAGTGGGATTACAGGTGATGTTTCTTCTGTGTTAGTCTGTATTTCTTAATTAGCCTACCAAAATTAGGTATTAATATCCTCATTAAAAGTGTCACAGTAACAAAAATAGTAATGAATCCTTTTCTTGTTATCACTGGTAGAATCAGAGTCTCAAAAATCAAAGAAATCCCAGATCTGGTCCGGTCTCCCACTGATAGATGAAACCCTTCTCTATAATGTCTGTTTTAGGGTTACCTAACCCTCTTTACATGCCACCAGGGACGAGAGGCTCACTACCACCTCACAGCCTTCTCCATGTCAGTTACAAAGCTCTTCTTTAGATCTTGTCCCAAGTCCCTCCTGACCAACAACTTGCTTTGTGACTCTGCCAGCGTCCTTTCCCTTGTGGGCCTCAATGGGGCAGGGGAAGAGGGAGGAACTGGGGTGTGGTGTGGAGTGTGTGTATGTGTGTACGTCTCCCGAGGCTGGCGGCTGCAGCAGGGGAGTCAGCCCCGCGTGGTGGGCCCACACTCACCAGGAGTCAAGCACTGCGTAGCAGGGATCACGTCCTCATCCTCGCTCTCTGAGGAGGAGCTCCTGGCTGTGTTCTCCGAGGCCTGGGCCTTCCGTGGGGTGTTTGTAGCCTGGGCTGGTGTGGGGGTAGCAGCTGGGCAAGCTGGACTACGATTAAGTTCGATAAAAATCAGAGGGGTTTTAATCACCTTGAAAAACAAAAACAAAAAACAACCCCCCAGTGATTAAAGGCTGGGCCAGGGGAAGCGGAAGATGGGGTGGGGAGGGTTTTACAAGGCAAGAGGGTCCTGAGAGCTCGGGGCAGCTGGACACAGAAGCGATTCCAGCTGCCCAAGGCACCTGCAGCTCACTCTCTGCCCATGCACCTACTAAGACCCAGCACAGCACCTCAGAGCTCACAAGAGCCCTTCTGACCCTCACAAAGAACCCATGGGGTAGGCGGTTATTAGCTTATCATACAGTTGGAAAAACCACAAGTCCAGAGAGGGGAGGAGAGTTGCCCAAGGTCACACAGCCTAAGGGAAGCAGAACCAGGGGTGGAACATCCAATTCAGCCTTCTCCCCTCTGGCTGGCTTCAGAGACACCTGCTGAGTGGTCATAATGCACTTCTACCCGAGAGCTGTTCAGTCTAGCTGTCCCCACCCCAGAGACTCTGATGCAGACTCCTGAGCTGTGGCCCAGGATGCAGCAACCCAGCTGCACTGGCCCAGTATCTCCAACAAATAAAATGCACACAAGAAAAACCAACAGTTTAGTCTGAAAGGACCCAACGCAGTGTGTGTCCCTTATTTGGACACGATATTAAAAAATGCCATTCACAAGGCAATTGGGAAAACGGGGACACCGACTGGGGAGGCCAATTTTTTAGGTGTGATATAGTATCGTGGTTGTGCTTAAAAAAAAAAAAAAGATCAACTGAGTGGAGGGTTTGGATGAAATGGGCTTGGTCTCAAGTTCAGAACTGCTGAGGCTGAGGTTTGTGGAGTTCTTTATGTTGGTCTATCTTGGGTGCGCTTTAAATTTTCCAATGCGACAGCCAAAGAAAAAACAAGCAGCAGCTGCTCCCTGGCATTTTGCGGACCAGTCTGGGAACTGCAGCTCCGGTCAATGTGCCCACTGCATTCTGCGAGCCAGGGAGTGGGGCGTCTGCTTTCCATTCCCCAAAGGTCAGGAAAGGCCTGGTCCAAGTTCTGCTCCCTCTCTGGTCAGCAGGGAGACACAGGGCAGCAGGAGGGAGCTGCCCAGGGCCAGGGTCTGGGACCCAGGTCTCCTCCACGACAACACCCTGCCCACCTCCTAAGCCAGACTCCTCACCCCGCCCCTGCGGTGCTGTGGGAGAGGAAAAGTGAAAAGTAAAGCAGATAGGTGCTGCCCAAGGGTGGGGGCTCTGCTGGGCTCAGGCCCTTCCCACCCCTGCCAAACAGCCTCCCCCGCGGCTGCTCTGATCTGCCACTTCCAGAGCCTTCCTGCCCACGTGATGAAAGAGAGAAGGATGGAAAGTGGGAGAAGGCTTATAGCTGAGGGAGGGGGGAATCTATATATATGTGAGAAGACAGAGGAACAGATTGTCGGGGACGAAGAGAGGCAACGCACCCACTGAGGCAAACAATAGCGTCTGGGATGTTAAAAGCAGCTCAGCAGCAAAAGCCGCCGCCTCCTCGTTCCATCTGCCCACGCTGCCCGCCCCGGCCTCTGGGCTGCAGGGGCACAAGGGACCACGGCCGAGCCTTGCTTCTGATCCCACCTCTGCCATGATCTCTCTGTGAGCCTCAGTTTCCCCTGTTGAAAAGGCTCTTAGTAATACCAGCCTGTGTTCACTCACTGGAGGGGCTCTGATGTGCTTTAGAAGCTGCAAAGCACAGCACACACAGTGGTGCTGGAGAGGGCCTTCCTTCTGGGGTGATTAGGAAAGGCTCATGGGAAGTTGAAGCAGCCTAAACATTTGCAGCCTCCCTTAGGTGCTGGGCACTAAGGACCCAGAGGGAACACAGGGACTCCCTACTGCAGGGACTGATGTCTGCAGAGCCAAACCTGGGTGCAGTGCTCATTCCAGGCTGAAGCAGAGAGGGAGGTGGGCGGCTGACGAGCCCAGGCTGCGGACCCTGGGCAAGGGACACAGCTGTGAGGGGCAGTTCTGGAGGGCAAGTTCTTCTCCAAGAGCCTCTCTCAGAACCGTTTGGGGACTGGGTAACAGATCCTGGGCCACCCCATCCTTGGGCACTGAGAAATCCCACTTCCTAGGGATGTGGCCTGGAGCCCCTGTGGTTCACAAGCCCCCAGGGAGTCTAGAAGACTGAGGCTCAGAGAGGGCAAACGGCCTAACCCATGGTGAGAAGCAAACTGGTACCAGAGCCAGGGCTGGAAGTTAGTTCTGCAGGGACCAGACAGGAGCTCCTTCCAGGACCAACCATGCTAAGCCTCTGATTTAATATCCTAATTTGGTTTCTTACAGGTCGCCCTTTTCTCTCTGCCTTGACCTGCAACTTAGAGGGCAGGGCCTGTGTCTTTAATTTGGTAGCTCTGCCAGGCTCCAGCATAGACCCTGACCTGGGCTTAATGCCAGCACAATAGGGCTGAGCCACAGACCAGCCCCCTAAAGTCTCTCAAAGCAAGAGGGTGGGCCCCATCCCCTGCATGTGGGGGGACTGAAGCACAGTGAGGGGGCCTGGGAACGGAGCCACAATCTCCTCTCTGCCTCCTAGCCTGGGGCTCTGCCCACGACCCTGGCATCGAACCCTTTCCCCCACTGATGGGCTAATAATAAAAACAGAGTGAAACTTGTCCATAGAGAAATGCTTGATAAAAGCATAATAACGATAATCATCATAATTAGTGAGCTGGGATTAAGAAGCTAAAAATCCCCCAGTTCGGAGGAGGAAGCAGCTTCCCCAGGCTGTGCCTTTTTCCCTGAATCCTCCCAGGGGGCTGCACAAACTGCCGACTTTTTCCCCTTCTTTTTAAATAGAGACTCCAGAATCTTCAGGACTAACGTACCAATTAAACGGTTCAGTTTAAGCATGATGTTCATTTTAATTGTGTTAGTCCGCCCCCGCAGAGACAGGCAAAGCGGCCCCATCCCTCCCAGCTGTTTAGAGCCTCCCAGAGAAGGAAGGAGCCCCCTAAAGGAGCAGAGGGCAGCGCCCTGGTCCTGCCTTCCTCCGTCCCTGGAGAGGGGGGTGTGGAGGCAGGGCTAAGGAGCGGGTAAGAGTGCAGATCGCCTGGGTTCCATCCAACACCAGGTCTGTCCAGTTGTTATCAGCCACGTGACACCGGGGCAGTTCATTCACCATCTCTGAGCCTCATTCCTTCCTCCTTAAAATGGGAATAACAGAAGGACGTACCTTCATAGGGTTGTTGTGGGGATTAAACAGATTACTGCAAGCCTGAGGCTCAGCACAGAGCCTGGCACAGAGCGAGTGACCAGTGCGAGTTGCACTTGTTCAGCATTACTTTTATGATCTGTGCTATTGAGAAGAGAAAGGCAGTGAGCACCCTATCAAGCAGATCTGACATTACTTAGGGACTGACTAGCACATGGTATGACACGTCAGGGAAGATGGATAGAGACCCCCACTGGTCTGGGAGTTGCAGAACCCCAGAATTTCTGAAGGGCCTGGCAGTCACGAAGCAGCTTGGACACCGGCCCAGTGGACTTGGGCCTCTGACCTGGAGACAGGTGGGCTCGGTCCCACGCTCAGGGCACAATCTGGGAAGGGTGGTGGGAGCAGCAGAGCACGTGGAGAAGTGCTGCAGGTGCTGGGGCCGGTCCTGGGCCAGGCCCATGGGGTTCTGATGAACCTTGCAGAGAAGGCGCCTGGTCGCAAACAGGAAGCCTGGGGACCAGTGTGTGCCCCTCCCTCGGCTTCTTATGGGTCATGATAATTTGGGGAAATCACTTCAACTCGTAGGGCGCCTTGATTCCTGACACCAAATGAGCACCACGTGCCCTCCTACAGAACAGGCTCTCGCTGTCAGGCAGTGTGCTGCGGGCCTGCACCAGCACAGGCACCGGCGGGAGGATGCTGTCCTCCTGTTTACAGTTGAAACTTTCAGGCCTCAGAATGGTTAAGGCGTGCCCAGGATCTGGAGCTGGTGGGTGAGAGAGCTGGCTCTGACCCCATACTGTCCGGCTCTGAAGCTGGACGTTCAACGACACTCTGCTGCCTACCTCACGGGGTTATTGTGAAGACGAGTGTGTCAAAATAGAGGAAAGAAGGGCTCTAGAAACTGTGA